CCTCTGTATACGATTAAGAAAAGAGTTACCATACATTTTCAAAAAAGAACCATTCCAGCCAGAAACCCTCAGCAGTTATGTTGGTCATGTTGACTGGGTGATTTGGGGAGTTGTAGTTCTGCCAGTCTCTGCTTCCTAGTGAGTAGAAATATGTCAATTTCCTAGGCAAATTTATTGAGGAGTAAGAGTAATTTAATTCATTAGAAACATATCTAAGCAGGTACTTCATAGAGCCCTATCAAGACAATTATGTGTAGAATTAGTTCCTTCTGATTACAGACCATGGCCTCTGGTAATAGTAACTTCAACTGTTCTGGTAACTTCAGTTTTAGAAATATATATATTTCTAGGATTTTTCTTTCAATATTTTTAATATTGTCAGACTGTGGTAAGTGAATGAGCATGCTGTGATGGATATGGGGGATCCTACCACATTGTCTTTTTAATTTTATAAGCCACCTTGGATTCTTTTAAGAAGGAAGGCATGACAAACATATTTTTAAATAAATAAATGTATGTCTTTACTGTGATTTTGGTTTCAAACATTTCCTGGACTCCTCTTTCAGATACTCAGCCTATGTCTCTCTCAACCTGACTTGACCCAAGCTTGCATTACAATATTCTCCAAAAAAATTAAATGATTATAAAGCTAACACAAGTGCTTTCTCTGTAATTGTGTGCCTCTTTCGAAATTGCTACCAGTGATGAAAACAAGGCAGGTCTCCCATGTTTCTGGTTGAGGTTAAATAGTAACTAGACCACTCTTTGTGATGTTGCTTTGTGATGCAATTCATGACACTCCTTCACTTCTGGTCCATGACTACAACCAGACATTTATTTGTTGGGTAACCAGAGCACTGTCAGCAATGTTTATCCAGTGATGGAGAAGACATAGTATGTTCTGGTTAGTCCTGGGGAAGCATTTGCAGCCTCAGTCAGATATCTTTATTCTTGTTATTATTTTGATGGTGAAACTCTTGAAGAATTTTTCTTTGCTTCATAAAAAATTGTGAATCGATGAAGAGAAGTTTCAGGTAGCTTTTTGATGAAATTCCATCCAAGCTTTCCAACACCAAAGCTAAGGTAGGTTTTTGCATTATTTTCATCAGCTTGCTTACTATGACTAAGCAAAATGCATAGACATGGCAAGTACATCATGTGTTACTATTTCTCTACAAAAAGAAAAATGGACAAAACCTGTGAAGTTTGCTAAAAATAAATGGGAAACTTTACGATGCCTAATTTGATGACCAAGTCCATTCACTTCAAGGGATAACACTGTAACTAGGTCCTCCTCAAATCCCTGGCCCTCGCACATTTTTGCTGAGCTTCAGAACAATCTCTGTGTTTCTGTTATTCATATTTTCCATTCATTCATAATAACCTTCCAAGAAAAAAAGGGTGTGGGGACATGGTCGGGTATCCCTGTATTTGCTCTGTGTGTGCGCTTTTTTTTCCTCATTAGTTTCGAATGAGAAATAGGACCTTGCTCTTTATTAAACCAGTTCAGAACATCAACTGTATGACCCTGTAGCGTTCACCTTTATTATGTTATGAATATTCATGTTTCAGTCTAATGTTGCTGAGAGGTGGAATCGAGAGAAATGTAATAAATAGGCTGAATATTCATGTTTCAGCCTAATGTTGCTGAGCGGCGGAACCGAGAGAAATGTAATAAATAGGTGGAGTAAGTCAGTAAGAGAGAGTGAGAGAGTGGAGAAGGAGATAGAGTGTGGTATTTGGGAGATCTGATATGATTAGAGTGAAAAGTGAATAAGAACTGTAATAAGTAGAAGGTTGTGATTGATGAGAATAGAAGTTACCTATGATTAATAACATCTGTAATAAATAAAAACATTTTTATTTAAAAGATAGCGAAGTTTGGACCTGCATCTTCATCCTTCCATAATTAGTGTTGATTTAATGATCAACTGGTGGCAGTGGGGTGAAAAGGAGTAGTAGTTTGCCTTCATGTGCTGAAAAAAAGTGTGTGGGGACATGGTCGGATATCCCTGTATTTCCTGTTTGTGCTTTTTTTTCCTCATTAGTTTCAAATGAGAAATAGGAACTTGCTCTTTATTCAACCAGTTCAGAACACCAGCTGTATGACACATTCTGCATATTCTTACAGAATATGTTTAGTAATATGTTAGTAAACACATGTTTAGTAACGATGTGTATTGGCCACCATTTACTTTATATGTCACACTACTTAGGATAATGAGATTGGAGGAGGTAAAAAATTTACTGAATTGATTTACTGATCTCTGCAGTCTTGTAAAACTATGATTCTTTATTTAAAAAAGTTATATTGTAATAGGCAATATATGACAATAACAAACAGAAAACAACTTTTCACCCATCCTGAAAAGCCTCATATTTGCTTGTTTTGCTGAAAACTGAGGTGACAGCGAAACTCCCAATTAGGACCAGCATGGAATTGTATGAAATGTGGCACCACTGAGAAGTAAAAGCAGAAGCATATGTTTTCTTTACTCTCTTTAATGCTGGACCTCGCTCTTCTTCTTCTTCTTCATTACAGGTACATTAGTGAAGACCAGGTAAGTGCCAGATCTTCTTCTTCTTCTTCTTCTTCATTATAGGTACATTAGTGAAGACCAAGTAAGTGCCAGAGGGCACAGAAATAGTTACAGTACAAAGATGCAGAGAACAAGCCTCTCCACCACAACTGAGGTCTGTCATCTTCCATTCCTCAACATCAACATAAAAGAAGACATGGAAGCTCACATGACGAGAATTGTTCAGTGCAGGTGGGGACTTCCTAAATGAGTTCTGCAGTCCTTGGCTGTTGGAGTTGGGAACCTTCACAACAGCAGCTCAATATATCTGATTCAGACTAAAAATGGGTAGAAGTTAGAGGAGCTTTCCAAAGCCCCATTCCTAAAATCTCTATGGGCCCTGCTTCCTCTTCAGATTGCAAAGAAGCACATAACATACTGTAGGAAGGTCTGAAAGAAGTTCCAAAGGGCAGGACTAAAACTAGACCAGCTTACCTTTTAGAGAGTAATATAACATTTTTCTTTTTCCTTCTGTTTTTTTTCTGTTTTAGGATTTTATTTTGTCTAGATGTGCTTGAATGGATTAACATAGCTACTTCTTTGAAAGTTATATTGGGACAAATCAATTTAGATTCATATGGAAAGACCATGTGGCAGACCCAATTAGAAGATGTATCAGTTTGTTGGAACCACTCCTTTCCATGTGCAAGATGTGTGTAACCAGTTTTGATGATTTCCAAGTGTTTCCACCTCATTTACAGAAACGGACATGAATCGCTGGTTTGGCAGTTCATGCCGGTTCATTTGTGGGCTGAATAAGTGTTTTGTGCTTCAAAGCCCTGCCTCCTCCAGTGGGCACCCACTTGGAGAAAATGGTCTGTCCTTCCTGCCCCACCTCCTCTGGGCGCTGCCTTTGACTGGGCATCTGCCAGAGGAGGTGGGGCTTTGAAGTGTCAAACACCTGTTCAGCCAATACACTAGCTGGTGTTTTATGCCCATCTCTATTCTAGATCCTAGGCAATGCTTAAATATCAAACTTCCCTTTTCCACTGTAATCCATGCCTATTTTAACCCTTGATGCTATTTTATATTAAAAATGAATGTAACTAAAATGAAATTCCCCTTCCCCCCACGGAGTGATGATTGTTCTGCAATATAGCCTCAGGGCTCCTGTGCCTAGGGCTGGCGCAGTGCAAAGAATAAGAACAAAGTTTAAGTGAAAGTCAAAAACACCAGGAGAAATGAAATCACCCAATAAAGCTGTATGTATTCACATAATATTAACTTGATCCCTCCCTTCCAGTAAACAGCCCCTGTTGTTACTTAGGCTGTTAGGGTTTGGTATCAGTCATGTATGTTATAGATGAAATTGACTTGAAGGAGGAGATCGCAAAAAGTGTCTGATGGGACCAAGTGGATCATGGGAGTAGTCTCAGTATCTCTCCGGGTAGATCTAAGAAGTCTGAAAACTGGAGTGGACACTTACACATCATCTAAAGGGCGGCAGGCATCACCAAAAAGGAGGAGACCAGTTTGCATAAAATGTATTAGATAAGTTGCACATGCAGAAAGCTAACAGAAAAAGAATTGATTCATTTGAAATGTGGTGCTCACAGAGAGCTTTGTGGATACCTTGGACTGCCAGAAAGATGAACAAGTGGGTCCTAGAGGAAATCAAGCCTGAACTATTTCTGGAAGCAAAAATGATGAAACTGAGGCTACTTTGGGCACATGATAAGAAGGCAAGATTATTTGGAAAAGACAATCATGCTGGGAAAGGTAGGAGACAGTAGGAAAAGAGGAAGATCAAAGATGGACTGACTCCCTAAAGTAATCCACATGCTTGAGTTTATAAGAGCTGAGAAGGGCTGCTGAAGCCAGGGACATTTTGGAGATCTCTCATTCATAGGCTCGGTACAAGTCGGAGGCCACTTGACGGCACATTACGGCACTACGTAGTAATGATTTCTTATAATCTGAACAAAATCACAACATTTCTCGCCGACTGGGGAGAAAAATGACCAGGTGAGCTCTACATCTGCTGAGACAGCTGTCCAGGTACCGCAGGTCTACGGGCAAATTCAAGATGCTGCTTCCTTATGTTTCTTTATCTACAAACCAAACTTGTACCAGGCAGATCTTGAAATGGAGAACAGCTTCCAGCGGATGATTGTTCTCTGGCTGCTCTTCGGATGGAGGACCGCCCTCTCCAAAGAAGACATGTGGCCATTCTTCCTTGGCGCTTGAGTTCTCCATTAATGTCTATGTTCAGCTCTTATTTCCCCGCCGGCGCCGGCAGATGGCGGAGAAGACTGAAAATGGCGTTTGGAAGCAAGGACGGAAATGATCTCTTCGCGCAAGAAGATGAACTGCTCTTTACTTTTCTCTATGGGCAAAAACCATGACTCTTCACTTCCTGTGCCGACAACCCCCCCCTAGGATAGGCCGGGTTTGGATGGGTAGTTCTAGGCTGAACCAATCGTAGGATCGCAACGACAAAGGCGGGGCTTAGCACCACCGGCGGAAGGAATCCGGTTGCGAAGGTGGAGGAGCTGCGTGGGAAAAAGGACTTTTACCAGTTTTCATCATGGTGGGTTCTTCCCTGGGGAAGGGGCCTGCTTGTCGTGGGGATGAGCGAGAGGGAGAGAGGGAGGACTAAGTGCTGAGATCGGGGGAGGGCAGTAGCTATTAGCCACGATGGCTAGAGTGCTTCAGAGACAGCTCGCCTCCCAATACGGGGCCGCTGGTGCCTGATGGCCGGATGGGTGGGTGGGTGCCGCAACCGCCCCTCTCGTCTTGCCCATGGGCTTCCCAGAAGCGTGTGGCCGGCCACGGTTAGGAACGGCCTGCTGTTATTAAAGAGGCGCTTGGTCTGTGGCAAACTTGGCTTTTCTTATGGAGGCAATCAATAGTGAAAGGAGTTTTGTGCAAAGCCATGGCAGTCGTTAGTCAGCATTTTATACAGAAGCGTTGCACACCGTTTGCTTGGTTATAACCTGCGAAAGCAGCGCGAACACATCAGTATCACTTGTCTCGGTGTGGGGTGGCTACGCAAGGCTTTGGAGCCAGGCTCTTTTCATTTTCCATGTTAATTTTGAAAATTACTGCCCTTTTGTGAGAAGAAGAAAACGCAAGATCTGTCTGTCAAGCTAGCTGGAACATTGGGAACAACTGGATTCAAATAAGAGGCAAAAATCATCCTGATGATTTCATAATTTCTCGAGTTTTTAGTGTGACTTTACTAATGCTTTTCTTTTATCATGTTCTGTGGCTTGATACAATATTACAGTATTGCAGAGTGCCTTTAGTGTTTTTCTTGGTATTTATGTATCATATGGGGAACACTGGCAAAGTTGATGCCACAGTTGAGACAATGAGAAGTAGAGGCAGTAAGATGCTGAGGATGGGACATGCTGGAGGAGGAGGAGGAGGAGATGGCCTAGAAAGGTCATGACTGTAACATCTTTGGGTTGACTGACCAACTTTGGTGCCCACATGAGCAGTCAAATATGCTTGGGGCTGCTGATGCCGAATGCCAGGTTGGCTAATGGGAGACAAGTGTCTGCCATCCAAGACCTGTTTTTTTAAAGAAGTGAGCTGAAATTTGAATCTCCAAACTAGTTTTCTGGATATGATGTCAGCACTGACCTGATAAGGTGAATTAGCTATGGTAAAACAAGGTGGAATAAATCCAGACATTCCCATCCAAACCGTGGAGCACATTGGACTTCTGAGCACATGGAGAGGTTAATAGCAGTGAAATAATTAAAAGAATGGCCAGATTGTAATGAGAGCAGATGTCTAACAAATTCTGACAAGCTTGTTGTTGTTTAGTCGTTTAGTCGTGTCCAACTCTTTGTGACCCCATGGAGCAGAGCACGCCAGGCCCCCCTGTCTTCCACTGCCTCCCAAGTTGGGTTAAATTCATGTTGGTCACTTCGATGACACTGTCCAACTATCTGATCCTCTGTCGTCCCCTGACAAGTTTAATTAGAGCTTATTTGAGCAACTGTTCCATGGCACAGAAAAAAGTGTTTATGTCCAGAATAGTTGCATCTGCCAGTATTTTTCAGCTGACTTCAGACTGCTGTAGTGGTTTCTGTGGGGCTGTCCTTGAAGACACTTTATCTTGTGCAAAAGGTGACTGCCAGGATGTTCACATCAAGTCTTTCTTAGCTTCAGTGGCTTAGCATGTTATTTCTGATCTTAATGTAAGGTGCTATGTTGATGTTTTATAGCATAATAATACAATAGTTTTGTTTGGTCTCCCTGTGTGAAAAAGAGATGCCGTATTTTTCCATGTATAAAACGACACATTTTCCTAAAATAATTAAAGGTAAATTGGGGGTTGTTTTATACTCAGAAGTAAGGGGGGGGAGGAATCAAAGCGCTTTGATCTCTGCTTTCCCCCTCCATGTTTTGCAAAGAAAATGGAGGGGGAAAGCAATTCCTACTTTCCCCCTACATTTTTGTTGCAAAAAGCAGCTTTCCCCCTCCACATTTTGCAAAGAAAATGGAGGGGGAAAGCGGGAATTGCTTATACAATAATAGAGAGATAATGAATTCATATATGCTGCGCGGATTTTAGAAAAGTTATTTCTGGGACTACAGCTCCTAGATTCCCCCATGGCAATGCTACTGAAGTAATTTGGAAGTTGTAGTCCCACAATTTAATTTCTGCCAGCTCTAATACTTCAGATTTCCATGCAACATTTGAACGTTACTCAAGTTACTCAACACATACTCAAGTTCTTTTTACATATTTCAAAATATTTCATCAGTAGACTTAAAAATCATGGGATATAAAAACAACTTTCAAAACGCAAGTGTCATGTGTGCTGGAAATATATTCAAAGTACTATACTAAAAAACTACAAAAATGTATTTATATTTTAAAGGGTGACAAAAGAATAAGTGGTTTGTTATCTAATTTTCTCTCTTTTCATTGTATATACAAAATTTATTTCAAAACCATTGTAGCGTTCGCCCTTGTGCCCCTTGCCTGACCCTCCAAACACAGAGCACACGAAAGCAAACTACTACTCCTTTTATCCCACCACTGCCACCAGTTGATCACTAAATCAACATTAATTATGGAATTTCAACCTTCATTGTCTTTTAAATAAAACTTGTTTATTAATTACAGATGTTATTATTAATCATAGGTAACTTCTATTATCATCAGTCTCAACCTTCTATTTATTATTACAGTTCTTATTCACTTTTCACTCTAATCACACTTCAGATCTCCCAAATACCACACTCTATCGCCTTCTCCACTCTCACTCTGACCCTTTCTGACTGACTCACTGACTTCACTCTCTGCCTCTGCCTCTTTATTACATTTCTCTTGGCTCCACCTCTCAGCAACATTAGCCTTAAACATGAATATTCATAACTACTTAACATAATAAGGGTGAACGCTACAATCATCCAGAATAGAATAATGAAAGCATATTTGCGCTTACCCTGTCTCCACCTGATGAAGTGGAATTTTTGGCTATCGTAGTGCAGCTCATCTTCTCCAGGAGGAAATTGGAGAGGCGGACGACAACCAGGGTTCTTTTTCTAGTTTCAGATAATTTTACTGTAAAGCCCTGTATCTACATGTGGGTATAATTTGTAGCATACAAACAGTAGCTGAAAAAAAGTAGGAGCCCTGTATTCACATGCACATTGTTTGATTTCCCTCTGCAGAAACATCTACAGTTTGAAAAACCTCCATCCCACTTAAAAGACCTGACAAAACTGTTGCCTGCTCATTCACTCAGCTGGTCTCTCTTTTCTCCTTTTGCAGTCGATTATGTCCTATAATGGTGGGGCCGTAATGGCCATGAAAGGGAAAAACTGTGTGGCTATTGCTGCTGATCGGAGGTTCGGCATCCAAGCTCAGATGGTGACTACAGACTTCCAGAAAATCTTCCCAATGGGAGACAGGCTATTCATTGGTTTGGCTGGGCTTGCCACAGATGTACAGACAGTGTAAGTATTTGCTTCAGTGCAAGAAAGTTATGGTATGTAGTAGTGGAGTGGTGGGAAATTGCCACAGGAAATCTGCAACCAACTTGTGACTAGTCCTTCGTGACTGTTTTTCTTCCTCTGACACCAGCTGTCTTCAACAGGAAAAATAGCACATGAGGCAAGATTGCTGGGAAGTTTAAGGTGATAAGAAAAAAACAAAGCTGAATCCAGTTCTATACAGTACTTATTTTCATCAGCCGTCTGAAGTTCCCCGTAAAATGCAGTAAAATGGCATGTGATTAATCAGATGAGCAGAAGGAAGAACTGTATTTACTGATAGACCTCTGTGTGGTTTGTGTAAATTCTGATGGCATTTCTGAGGCCCAGGTGTTTATCAGTAGCAGTAACAACATGATTCTCCCATCTAAATTAAGCTATTAAAATGCAGAAATGTTAGCATAACCAGGAGTGGACTCTAGTGTTTATGAGCTGTTAGTTTAGTTCTGATACTGAAAATAACTTCCTGGGCTCCAAATTACTCAGAGGCACCTTTCTTTGCTATTTAATTCAAGGTGCATGACTTTTTGTGACTGGCTGTAGTTGCTGGATTTTATGATTTTATTAGTAAAAGAGTCTAATGTTTACCCCTCCGCCATAGATTACTTATGTACACTGCCAGCATTAGGTTTATATATTCATTGTCTTTCATTTTCAAAAAATTTCTGAATTTCTCATAAAAATGGAACTTTTTTATTGTTATTACAGTGTGACTTTGAATTGTAATTCAAATCAGATCAAAATGCTGACATGATTTAGGAATACTTTATTGACTATTGATGCCTGTTTTTTTAAAGGAGGAGCAAAAAGCTGTAACAGAGACATTTTCTGAATATCTGATCTTCTGAATCACAGAGGCCATGGAGATAGCCTCTAAACTGAGTTGACTTTATCAAGTAATACAGAAGTCTGGCTTCCTACTCATTAGACACGCTGCTCAGGATCCTTGTAATTTTTAGCTCACAATTTGCACGTTTCTGAGCTTGTAGCAGTTAGCATTCAAAGTTTGATCTTAAACAAATAAGTATAAAAAAGGGTAATGTTATCCTTCTGGGATTGCTCACACCAGTTTGAGATTGTTCAATAACATTGTGTGTGCCATGCTGTGGAGCACAATTTTAGTGACTGCATTTATATACTGTACAATAAGCCAGACTTCTGGAGAATCTTTGTTAGTTGTGAACAAGCAGCTGCTCTTTTGCAGTTGACTGTTAAACTGGAAATGTTGGTTCCTGTCTTCTGAACTGGGCACCCTAGTTTGTTGTTCACCTTCCAAGCTTGTATTGCAAATAAGGGTTGGTTTGTTTTTGCAAGTCCTTGGTTGTTTAAGAGTATTGAACAAGGAGTTGTGATTTGGATGACATGCTAAGGAAATCCTTCCTGGTTTATTTAGTAGTCCCAGTTTCAGGTAGAAATGAAGCGGAAGCAAAGGGACAACATAAACTGATAATGAATGAAGATCCCATGAAATTCTGGCTTATTGTTCTTTGCAAACATACCCATAATATTCTGAGATATACTTGTGTGCATACTTAAGCACAAGGATTAACAGAGGGATATTTAAACTTAAAGGACAAAATGGATTTAATGCTTTTCCCTTCTTCCAGTGCCCAGAGGCTGAAGTTCCGACTGAATCTCTACGAGCTAAAAGAAGGCAGACAAATCAAACCACAGACTCTGATGAGTATGGTGTCCAACCTCTTGTATGAAAGAAGGTAAAGGATCAAACATCTGAAATGCCGGTATGCAGTCAGCCAGTGTCTAAAAGAACTCATCATTTCAATAAGATGAGAGATTGTTTGTATTCCACCCCTAGATTTATTTCCTTAATAACTGATTTACTACCAATAGATGAATAGTAAGGATGGAACTGAAGACAAATCCCAGAAATGTCAACTATATTTGTGACTTGGTCCTGGAAGTTCTTGATTTGGAATGGTAACTCCCTTCCTAAGAGAGGGTGATCTGTCCGCTAACCCCCCACAAACCAGTCAGTGCCAGATGTAGCTCTGGATTGGGGTGGGCAGAACACAGCCTTCCAGATGTTGTTCGAACTGTGCTTCCTTCCTTCTCCATGGGCCATGCTGACTAGCGCTAATGGGAACTGCAGTCCATCACACTTTTCCCACTACATAGAAAACAAGTGAGACATTCAGTCATACTCTAAAGTATTTGAAGCTCAGACAAATTCTAAGTATAAACTGAATCCTTATGTAGTGATCTCAAGGGAAATTTTGAAAGGGTGCCTCCCAGCATTCGGTCTCAGTTTAGAATTCATTTATAATAATTCTTAATAGCATTTTATCACCTTTATATGTATATCTCTGCTTGGGAAAATAATGAATATGTCTTCTCTTGCTTTTTCTAGGTTCGGACCTTATTACACAGAACCAGTGATAGCAGGCTTGGATCCAGTTACATATGAACCCTTTGTCTGCTCCTTAGACCTGATCGGCTGTCCGATGACAACAGATGACTTTGTGGTCAGTGGGACCTGCGCAGAACAGATGTATGGCATGTGTGAGTCTCTCTGGGAGCCAGATATGGTAAGATGTATGCAAAATGGATACCTGACATGAGTGCTTTTGTCATTTTTGTTTTGCTTGTTTCAAAATCTTTAGAATAGATTAGGGCAGCAGTGCGGTAGGCTGTGTTTGAGAATAGCAGCCTTTTAATGGAAGGCCTGTTCGAATGTTTTTACAAAGTGGTGAGTAGGATGATGTAGCCAAACCTTGCTCTCCTATCCTAGATAGAAACCTTCATGTGTTTGACATGAAGATTTGAAACAGGATTCTAAGTACATTTGGGTGAATGTGCTTCAGAAGCACAATACTGCTGCTTGCAGGCAGGATGCAAAGCACATTTACCCATAAGTGTTTATGCTTCTGTTTAAGACACACATCCTCTTTTGGCCTAATTGCTGAATTCAGTTTCAGGTAAGTTCTTGATAACTGTATTCCAACAGTTGTCTTTTTAGAATAGGTAGCTGTGTTAGTCTTTGCTAGCATGTCAGGCAAAATTAAAAGAAAAATAAAAAAATAAAAGAGACAAAAACATCATGGCACCTTAAAGACTAAGTGGTATATTTTAATATGAGCTTTCGTGGAGAAGTCCACTTCTTCAGACTTGTGGAGTGGGGTTGTCTATGAAAGCTCATTAAAATATAGCAATTAGTCTTGGTACCATAAAGTTTTTGTCTCCCTTCCCCCCCCCCCGACATACATTCCAACACTAGGTGGAGTTGAAAACAAAAAGGGCCAAAAATAGGATATTTTAGCTTATTTTAAGTAAGCCTTGGACACACTATGGAAAGACAAAACTTATTGAAAAAGGCAGTAATGCTAGGAATAGTTGAAGGCAACAGGAAAAAGAGAAAGATGAAATATGAGATGGATTAACTTCATAAAGGAAACTGCAGGAGCTCAACAGGGCTGTTAATGGCAGGACATTTTGGAGGTCTCTCATTCATAGGGCAGCCACACATCAGAGGCAACTTGATGGCACCTCACAACAACAAGCCATGCAAGGTGTTCCACTCTTTTTAGAATGGGAACCAGAATCCATACAAAACCTGGAAAATCACCAAAGGATGATGTCATGTAGAAGGGAGTGTGGCCATCTGGAGAATCCCAAGAAGCCATTTTGGGAATCTCTGGGGACTGGATTCATCTCTAGGGTCTGAATGTTCCTAACCCTGACATATCTGCTGAATGTGCAAAGGTCTGCCTTCAAGGTGGAGTTTACAAGTGTGGTCCTTCAGCCTAGACACATGTTTTCTATGCATGCCTGCAGAGGGCTGGAGGGTGCTATCATTTCTCTCCCTTTCCACTATCAAACTTTAAACCAGCAAAGCCTGTCAAAGAGGCAACACGGTCTTATCCCCTTCTGCCAAACCCACTGTAGATACAGCATGCTCAACTGTGTTTGCATAAGCTGTGAAATGGAAGTCAACTGGAACAGCAGCGTTGCTCTTTTTGTCCCTTTGAATGCAGGAACCAGATCAGCTGTTTGAAACCATAGGCCAAGCCATGCTGAATGCAGTGGATAGAGATGCAGTGTCAGGCATGGGTGTGGTAGTCCATGTGATGTAAGTACAACTTGAGTGGCTGTGGATGAGCCTTTTTACTGTATTAACTGCTAAATGTATGGGTTTCAGTAAGTCATATTTCACGGCTTTGTTGCAGAGACAGTAGTTTTCCTGCCAGCAATGAAATTGTCTCAGCAATGAGACAATTAAATTCCATATGGAGCGGAGATATGCTTATTGTCCTTCCCCTCCTGGATGGGTGTGAGTATAGACACCAGAGGACACCAGTGAGAGCATAATGGACAGCTGTAATTGTGGGAAGGGCTAGGCTCTCCCTCTTTCTGCTGAGTGGCAATGCTAGAGGGCCAGATTTGGCTTCAGGTCCTGTAGTTCCTCACCAGAGCAACATGCTGAAGAGGTCTCCCAAGAGGGAAAATGCAGATTTACATTGTTTGACCAGAATGTGCACTCTCATTCATATTTCTCCCTTTCTTCCTCAGTGAGAAAGACAAGATAACTACCCGAACACTGAAAGCTCGTATGGACTAATCAAATAATGTGGTTGGTCGGGTGCTCAATATTTTGTTTTTCATTGCCTTGATGTAAACAGAAATGCCAGTCTTGTTAAAGAAATTGTGGGATTTTTTTGTTTCTTCATTTAATGAGAGCTTTTCAAAAGAATGAGGTAAAATGTTTTGTTCGTGGAATAAAATTTTCATTAAGAATTTCTGTCAGATGTTTCATTCAACTTGTGTATTTATCCTAAAAGCGTTAAACTACAAAGTATGTGGTCATAGGAAAAGGTACTAACCCATCAGGGTAAACTGGGTGCGGGCTAAGAAATGTCATACTTAGCTGACATATACAATAGTCAAACCTAGATGTCATGGTTAAGCATCTATTTAAAAAGTGACTGAAATCCAAGTAAGTGGCAGGTAGAGTAGGCCCATTAAATCATTGGTGATTTGGTGAGTCAACTCTGTAAATTCTGTTGATTCAGTAGACTTGCTGATTGTGACTGAGTACAGTACTGGATTTCAGCTATGATGTTTACTTAAGTAATATCTGTAAAAATGTGTGGTAGAAATTTGCATATGGTAAATACATCATTTGGAAAAAACAGTACTGGATTTCAGCTATGATGTTTACGTAATATCTGTAAAAATGTGGGGTAGAAATGTGCATATGGTAAGTACATCATTTGGAAAACCCCCAAAGCATTTGTCAGATAGCTTACACTTAATAAAAGCCAACAATGCCCTTCACATTTCTTGCTTAGGAAATAGTTCCCTTTTTACAGCAGCATACCAGAACCAAAAAGAGCTCAAGTCCCATCAGTATTGCAGAACAGTTGCATTAATGTTAGGCACAGCATGGATTCATTGCAGTGTGCTGGTGCAGAACATCCTGCCTCATGGGTTCATTTATCTTATTTAGGCACTGTCAATTTAAATCCCCTGTCTATTGCCAAAATAATAGCTAATCTACAATTACTTAATTCCTTTGGAGGTGCAAAATATTTGCTAACATCTGATAAAGGAGAAAGCCAACTGTATTTTCCCCTTAATAACTTGCTACAAAGGAAGAAGACAGCACAGGGTTGGGCATTTTAATAAACAGACTAAATCAGTGAGCGTGTCAAAATTGATTAGCACAATTAATTACATAGGTATGTCACTTGGGACTTGTAGGATAAAAGTTCTTTAAAGCCAAATTGGACATTTTTGGAATCTCAGTAAAAGAAAATTGCATATCCAGCACATTTTGTGTTTTGCAAAGTATGTGGAAGATAAAAGTCCAACTGTTGTTGAACAAGTCTATATTGTTAGATATCTGGCCAGTGATTGTTTTGAAACTGTAAAATTCAGTTCTCAGTTTCTCAGCCTTCGCTCTCCCTTCCTCTCTCCATATTTTTCATTCTTATAAAATTAAAATATTTCCCACAAATTTTAATTTTTCTTTTGTTCAGCCCAGTTAGGGGTTGACCAATGTGGTGTAGCAGATAAGAGTGATGGCCTAGGACACAGGAAGCCTGAGCCAGTAGTGGATAAATTGGTGAAGGTATTTTAATCATTGAAGCCATGACATCACTGCAGATCACATAGGAGACACCAAGGGGAGACACCTGACTGCAGTTGTTGCCAGCAGAGACAAACAACAATGCACTCTTTGGTTGGATGAGATCTAGCACCAAGAGCAAAAGTTGTTGCTAAATTAAAGTCAAACTACGTATCTGTAACTGCATTGGCTTGTTTTGGGGTCTTTGTAGCCTTGCTCTTCCTCTTCTGGTCAAGATGTCGCACAAACCCCTAGGCCAGAAGCTGTTATGTATGTGAGTGCAAATGAGTGATCATATTGGGTGCTAATATTGGAACATAAGGGTGTTGCCATTTGATGTGAGAGAAACAGTCACCTCAGAAAAGGCATAGAGTGACTCCACAGGGATCTTTACTGTGGCATCCAAGATTGAGCTAGGCACTGTCATTTGCAGGAGGAATAATCAGAGCTCTACCTTGGAACTACAAAGCCGCCAACTTGCAGTGGACATTATGGCTCAGGGATCTTGGGAGTTACAGCCCTTACCAGTAACTTTTCCTAGTGTTGAATTCTATAGCATATAAACAAAGGTCCTTTTAAACTAAAGTCACAGGCATTCTTTTGCACCTTCCATTTGCCATTTTCCTTTTTTTTTAAGAGAAAAGACCACCTTGAACATGTCCTAACACTCTCAAGTCAAGACCCCACTGTACCTGTAACTGCATTGACTTGTTTTGGGGTCTTTGTAGCTTTGCTCTTCCTCTTCTGGTCAAGATGTCGCACAAACCCCTAGGCCAGAAGCTGTTATGTATGTGAGTGCAAATGAGTGATCACATTGGGTGCTAATATTGGAACATAAGGGTGTTGCCATTTGATGTGAGAGAAACAGTCACCTCAGAAAAGGCATAGAGTGACTCCACAGGGATCTTTACTGTGGCATCCAAGATTGAGCTAGGCACTGTCATTTGCAGGAGGAATAATCAGAGCTCTACCTTGGAACTACAAAGCCGCCAACTTGCAGTGGACATTATGGCTCAGGGATCTTGGGAGTTACAGCCCTTACCAGTAACTTTTCCTAGTATTGAATTCTATAGCATATAAACAAAGGTCCTTTTAAACTAAAGTCACATGCATTCTTTTGCACCTTCCATTTGCCATTTTTTTTAAAAGAGGAAAGACCACCTTGAACATGTCCTAACACCGTCAAGACCCCACTGTACCTGTAACTGCATTGACTTGTTTTGGGGTCTTTGTAGCTTTGCTCTTCCTCTTCTGGTCAAGATGTCGCACAAACCCCTAGGCCAGAAGCTGTTATGTATGTGTCCTGTGCAAATGAGTGATCACATTGGGTGCTAATATTGGAACATAAGGGTGTTGCCATTTGATGTGAGAGAAACAGTCACCTCAGAAAAGGCATAGAGTGACTCCACAGGGATCTTTACTGTGGCATCCAAGATTGAGCTAGGCACTGTCATTTGCAGGAGGAATAATCAGAGCTCTACCTTGGAACTACAAAGCCGCCAACTTGCAGTGGACATTATGGCTGAGGGATCTTGGGAGTTACAGCCCTTACCAGTAACTTTTCCTAGTGTTGAATTCTATAGCATATAAACAAAGGTCCTTTTAAACTAAAGTCACAGGCATTCTTTTGCACCTTCCATTTGCCATTTTCCTTTTTTTTTAAGAGAAAAGACCACCTTGAACATGTCCTAACACTAGGAGAGCACTTTGCTTCTGTAAAACACATATGTGGTTGCCTATGATTCACGCTGGCTATTTCCTATGGACTTCTGAAGGAAGATAACTGACAATGAAGTAGAAGCTATTACTCCCCATACCTATCTTCCAAGCAGTCAGCCATCTTATACTGATCTGCTTTGGATGAAGCATGGCCAGTACTCCAACAGAACGGGGTCCAATGGTAATTCCAAGGACAAGCCAGAGGATCCGATGGTTTATGCAACCTTTTGCTGCCTTTAAATGAAATGAAGGCACATGTCTGCAATGGAAGCAAAATGGCAATGCTAATGCTATAGTACTCTCTAGGCTAGAATGCAACACCTCTAACACAAAACCACATCAGCTACTTTACAGCATTACAATTAGAAACTCAATGATATACTGAAGGAACTAACTTAGGGTAAAAACCCCTGGGATGACCAATATTAGAGAAAACCCCACTCCAAAAAGAAAGAAAAAGGAGAAACAGCTGAATACAACAATGACTGTTCAGAAGGTGCATTTCTGACTATAGTTGTCTGCCAGCACCACCAGTAACACAAATTGGAAGTTATCTTTTACATCTACAATTAATAGTGTAGTCCAGAAAGTAACTTTTTGAAGTCATATGGTGGCACTTGCTTTTTTCCACCTCTTTCTGCATTCCCGCCCCACTCCACCTTCCACAGAAAAGCAAAATCAACCCCTTGCTTTTTTCCACCTCTTTCTGCATTCCTGCCCCACTCCACAATCACTCAGAGGAAAAACAGGTTACCTACCTGTATAACCATAGTTCTTTGAGTTGTCCTCTGTGAATCCACACAATTGGGTATTACTGCACCTGCGCAGGACCTCTCGGAAGTTTATAGAGCTTAAAAACGTGATTAGTGGGACATTCCTCTGTGGAGTGCATGCTCCGCCCACCAGAGACCTCCTCAGTTCCCAAAAGTTCGCCATTGTCAGAGGTAAGTGTAGACAACAAGTGATGGACAGAGGGGAGGATGGGTGGGAAGTGTGGATTCACAGAGAACCACTCAAAGAACTATGGTTACAGGTAGGTAACCTGCTTTTCTTCTTCGTGGTCTCTGTGAATGCACACAACTGGGTGACTAACAAGCTCACCGGTTGAAACTGGGTGACTAACAAGCTCACTTACTGGTTGATGGGACGTCAATGAAGTAAGGAGGTTAGGACAGTTCGGCCAAAGGCTGCATCACTCTTTGCTCAAACATCTAGTTGGTAATGTGAGACAAAGGTCGACGGGGTGGACCAAGTGGCAGCACGGCAAATGTGAGAAATGTCTATGCCACGTTGAAAGGCAGTTGAGGTTGAAAGAACTCTGGCAGAGTGTGCACGAAGAACTTCTGGAGCTGATTTGCCTGATAGCTCATAAGCCAGAGTGATTGTCTGGACAATCCACCTAGATCGAGTTTGTGAGGATGGTGCCGAGCCCTTATGAGGGCCATGAAAACATATGAAAAGTCATGGAGTTTTTCTAAGAGATCAAGTCCTGCCAAGGTAAAAAGCTAAGGAGTGCCTGGCATCGAGCATATGGAGCATGCGCTCAGCATTAGTTTGAGGAGACGAAAAAAGTGAAGGTAAGATTAAAGGTTGGTTTAAATGAAAGTATGATACAATCTTTGGAAGTAAAGAAATATCAGGGTAAAGGGTGACCTTGTCTGGATGAAATTGTATATAGGGTGGGTCGGATCGGAGGGCTGAAAGTTCACTAGCCCTTCGAGCTGATGTTATTGCAACCAAAAAGACTGTTTTGAGAGAGAGGAGTTTGAGGGTGATGGTAGCCATGGGTTCAAACAGCGGCTTTGTAAGTGAGTTAAGGATGACCTGTAGAGAGCACTGTGGGAGGAGTCAGTGGGTAGGTCGCATGTTACGAAGACCCTTTAAGGTTGGATATGAGAATAGTCAAGCTGATTCAGAGTGTAGAGAGCACTGTGGGAGGAGTCAGTGGGTAA